TCCTTATGGCAGCCATTGATTATGCAATTGAAGATCTATCAGGCAGTTTAACTATTCGGATTCCCAGCTAACTGGTTCGATAACCAGTTGAACCGGTCGGATCACCAGTCAGGCTGGTCTGCTACAAGTCAACTTGCTCCGAAATGCTCAAGATGGTGTTGCTCAATGGATACAAGGCGCTTGGGGACTAGCTGTGGAGGGTATAACCCCCGGTACCCACAACAAGGTGCATGGGCCGGCCCACCAGGAATGGCCTGACCCAGTACCTGAAGACCCGTGGCGCACGGCAGCGCTCGGAGGTGCTCGGCGTGCACCGCAAGTCTACCATAAGGCAATTAGCAGATATATAGGGATCTGATCTGATAAGCTAGATATCAGATCCCTTGATTGATGCTTATCATTGTAAACCAACTAGATTAGATCTTAACCGACTTGTAAACCCTATCTCCCGGCTATATAAGGAGGGCATGGTAACCCCTCAAAAACCCGATAACTACACCTCATCTTGTATCAATATACAATCCACCAAAACACATGACGTAGGGTATTACGTCACCATGATGGCCCGAAACCTATCTAAAGCTTCGTGTCCCTGCTCTTCGTGTTCATCATCTAGTTCTGATCATGCACGTCCCTCCACGTAGTTAATCTACCATCGTGGTTATCCCCCTCAGTGGATTGCCGACTATATTTAGTCGAAGTGAACTATAGGAGCCTTTGAGCAAGTTTAATTGCATAGCCAACTACTAACTCCAAATCATCTATAGCTAATCTAATAGCTCATTCATACAATAGTTATCCATAAACCATTAATATATGGTCTCACCTCTCATACACACATAATGTATTGGAGTTTGTGCTACAGCTGGCTACGAATCTGTAGCCCGCTTTCCTTCTCTCTTTTCTCTTCTCTCCTCCACATATACTTACAGTTGACTTGTAGCCTGCTATTGTACTCACTCTTATAGATTACCGTACCCTGCCCTTAACAACTAATTAAGGTGGAATTAAAATTCCACGGTCTCATATAACACAGTAACACATGAGCCAAATTCAAATAGGCCGACTGTCACCTAATTTAAGGTGACTAAATAAAAGGGCTACCATGCCAAAAATAAAATTATAGTTCTTGGACGTGCAAAGCTGTCGAGCTTGTCAACGTCGATTCTTTGTCCTAATCTGTTGTAGTATGTTGTTGCTCTCCAGGGTAGATCTGTGTAGATTTCTCAATATCGTCATCGGTGACATCGTCAGTCTCATTACCCTCTTTGCTCTTACCCCAGAGCATGGTGTAAAGACTTCCGACCAGCAAAATTCCACCCAAGATGCTGCCAATAAAGGAAGAGCGGAAAAGGAAAGTTTGTTTATTTTAGCGTGTTTTTAGAATATTGCACCTTTGATCAGCTGACAGTGAGTATATATGATGATTAATTTACCTGCCGAGGTGAACAATCTCTCCAAGAAAGAAGGATGAGCAAAATATTGTGAACACGAAGCAGAGTGGCGTCCAGGAGGCAAAGAACATGGGGCCTCTCATCTCTAGGCACCACGTTTGCAGGTAGTAGGACACTCCCGTCACCATAACACCCTAGAGCAAACCACCAATCGTCTAATAGTCAGATGCGTGTGCACCATGTCAACAGTGAATACATTGGATCACTGAAAATTTTATGTGCAGAACTTACCGAGTATAGGATGGCGAGCAAGCTGATGTCAAATCTTAGCTTCCATCTGGAGAAGTCGCGCTCTGCGACCACCGCGACGACAAACGACTGCACCGTGCTGAACAGGCACTGAGTCACAGTCACAACCATTTTATCTTGATATTCCTTTTGCACCGCTGCCTGCACAGTCAACAGACAAGGAGTAGAGACCCCGATTCGTCAGTAATTGCAGCTATGGATTGATGCAGACAAGCATGCAAGAACAGCTCTTTTTTTTGTAAATAACTAACCATGCATGCGAACCTGAAAAATGATCCACAAAGACCAGCACATGTTGGCGACCACCATAAGGAATGTCCATTTGATCCACACACCCCTCGGAACTACTGTTTTCGAGCATGCGTAAGAGGCGAAGGCACGGTGATGGTTGATAGGGCTTATGGATGGGCCAGCGAAGAAGGCGATGGTAAAGACTCCAGCCAAGCAGAGTGCCACGCTAGTGACCTTGGCTATGCCTGAAGAGCTCCTCAGCTTCACATACTCCGTCCTGGCAAGCAACATTTCAATCCTGGTATTATTATTATGGGTTAATGGATCCATGCCATTTACCCATTTGAAAATATGCCATTATAATTTATGAAATTGGAACCATACCATTATGATTTTATAAGATTTGATATGTGCCACTCCATACCTCTTCGAAGCAATATCAAAATTTTACCAAAATACCCCCTTCTTCTTCCTTCTTCCGTCCCCACCATCTCTGTCCATCGTCATGCTCGTGAAGAGCGTCATGTCCTTGGCCTTCACGACCGCCTGCTACGTGTACTCGGCCATCGTCTTGCCAGCGGCCACCGCGGTGTCCTGGCCTTCTCCTTCACCATCTTGGCGTACTCCGTCAGTACTACTCCAAACATTTAGTACTGTTCCTGGCCTGCTCCTATTGCTATTTGATGCTGATTTTCTCCAGCCACCACGAAGTTCCGCTGGTGCTGAGTGTGATTTCCTTCCCCCACACCGTCGCCTGCTTCACGTACTTGCTGGCCGTCTGGCCAGTGCTGAGCGTGACGTTCTTGGTCTTCTCCGCTGTTGTCCCGTGCCACCATGGAGCCCGCCGGTGCGTATGCAGCAATCCCCATGGCGCCATGCGCGGCGCCAGGACTCTTCCCCCGGGCAACGCCGGTGGCATTTGACTTGTCCGATGAGGGGAAGGAAGAAGGGGGTATTTTGGTCAAGAAAATTTTAATATTGCTTTAAAAGGGTATGCAGTGGCAGATATCATATTGCTATAAAATCATAATGGCATGGTTAAAATTTCACGAATTGTGATGACATATTTTCAAACGGGCAAATTTGTAATGGCATGATCCAATTAACCCTATTATATACTACTCCATTCATTCAAATTATAAAGCGGTCTGGTTTTTCAAGATACGTTGCTTTTATTATGTGTTTTGATATAGTGTTTATCTAAATATGTATATCAAAATTTATGTGTTTAGAAAAGTCAAAACATCTTATAATTAATATTTTCACAACTAATTTGAATCTATTTATGGTACATTCTCAAGTTAGGCTTTAGTGATGTCTCATATAAGAGGTGGTGGACTATGATATCGATGATGATAAACCTCAAAAGCGCCGCCAAGAAGAAGGTGATGGCTGGGAGTGAGCTGTCTACTGCAGATGCCACCGTTGCAGAGGTGAACTTGAGGCTTATATGGTACAGATTTACCCCAAGCGTAATCCTGAAAAGAAATTTCCGCAGGTAAATCAGGGACTAATTAAACTCTTGACATGGCATGAGTATACAATCGATTGTTATTTTTCGTTTTGTACCAATAAATTAGAGTTTGTAAAGATAAGCGCATACCCGATTAAAGCACAGAAGAAGAGCTTTATGAGCACCCCAAGTGTCATGACGGGTCGTGCATTTTTCCTACAAATATAATCAAACGGATCTGTATTTCTCAGCTAATCAAACAATATAGCAAACTAAGCACCATCCCACCCTAGTCAAAGTGTGGTCAAAGGGCTCCCACCTTAGTCAAACCAGTCTGCTAACTCACCCCATATCCACCTATTTAATGTCCTCGTCTCGTACGAACCGTACAATAATAGGACGACCACCATGCAGTAACGCCACAGCTTACGAGTAGTAACAACAATAAAATATAGTTAAAATATAGTCACGACATATCTAGTTTTGTAGAGCTCTTTTTTTAAAAGCATTATGGTGTAAATAGTTCAAAAATATAATATGTGGTGTGAGAGATATCATTGTTGATGTGAATTCTAAATATATCACTTGCACTTAGCTTTGCTAGTTCAAGGTGGATGGTAGTTCTTGGACATGTGTTCGGTAGTTACCACATGTTATTGCAGTAATACTACACGCTATGTTACTGCATAAAATATAGTTGTTATGGTACACTTGTAGTAACATCACGATGGAATGGTGGAATGGTAGTAATGCACAATAAAAAGTAATAACAATAATGGTTTAGATTGGGTTTGGATGGGGCTAAAATTTTTCAATCCCTGTCACATCGAATGTTTGGACACTATTTAGAAGTATTAAACATAGACTAATAATAAAGCCTATTCCATAACCCTGGACTAATTTGCGAGATGAATCTATTGAGCCTAATTAATCCATTATTAGCGTATGTGATGCTACAGAAAACATTCTCTAATTATGTATTAATTAGGCTTAAAAAATTTGTCTCGCATATTAGCTCTCATTTATGCAATTATTTTTGTAAATAGTCTATGTTTAATATTCTAAATTAATGTCCAAACATCCGATGTGACAGGGACTAAAGTTTAGTCCCTGGATCCAAACACCTTTTAGTATTACTACTTATGGAGAGATAAATTTCAAAAGACCAATCTTTGATAAGCAATATCTCTTAGATGATATACTAATTTTTTAAATTGTTTGCACCATCAAACTAGAAAAAGTGCTTACCAAAAATAGATCTGTCATGACTATATTTTAATTATATTTTAGCGTGCATTGTTACGGCACGTAAGACACAATGTTACTGCACATTGACTGTCGCGTTACTACACCGTTCCTATGAGATAAAAGCTGAGAAGAGGTGGGTGGCAGGGGATGTCAGCACGATGGAATTGTAGTAAAGTCGCGATGGAATTGCAGTAAAACCAACCTAAGGTGGTGTTTACATTCAGGGACTTAACTTAAGTCCCTGTCTTTAGACACTAATTTAGAGTATTAAATATAGACTACTTACAAAACTAATTACATAAATAAAAGCTAATTCATGAGACAAATTTTTTAAGCCTAATTAATCTATAATTAGAGAATGTTTACTGTAGCATCACATAGGCTAATCATGGATTAATTAGGCTCATTAGATTCGTCTCGCAAATTAGTCCAAGATTATGGATGGGTTTTATTAATAGTCTACGTTTAATATTTATAATTAATTTTCAAACATCCGATGTGATAGGGACTTAAAAGTTTTAGTCCATCTAAACAGGGCCTAATACTAGATGTGACGTATCTTAGTACTACGAATCTAGACATACATTTGTCCAGATTCGTCCAGATTCGTTGTACTGTTTAGAATATGTCACTTACAGCTGTTCCAAAAATAAGGACATGCGTGTGACGTCGGCTTCGTCAGAGCAAGAAATATACATATGGCCCTGTTTAGATCCTACCCTAAAATTTTATACCCTGTCACATCGAGCGTTTAAACATCTGCATGAAGTATTAAATATGGGCTAAAAAATAACTAATTGCACATATTGCGACTACTTTGCGAGACGAATCTTTTAAGCCTAATTGCTCTATAATTTGACAATGTGGTGCTACAGTAAACATGTGCTAATGACGGATTAATTAGGCTTAATAAATTCGTCTCGCAGTTTACTGACAGATGTTGTAATTAGTTTATTAGTGCCGGAATACCCCATGTAACACCTTATATAATACCTGATATGGCAGCAAAAACTTTACACTCCTGAATCGAAACACCCCAAGATAACAGGACATATTGATAGATTAAAAATGCAGTAGACAACTAGACATGCACCCTATATGCAGGTTGACCAGGGAGGTGCTCCTGTGCTGCAGTGCCACAGCCAGACTTCAATTCGGTGTCAGGTTGTGTGATGTGGCAGGTGTACTAGGAGGGACTCAAGTGTACCAACCAAACCATCAAAGGCAGCACCTATATAGAAGCGAAACGGGATAGGTACATCTTACAACGATTAGGAACATAATAGACCATACTCATCATGATGCAATGCATACACGTGTCACACAAATGAGTAAGGTGTATATTAGCCTTGGTTCATATTATCCAGCTCCTATATATAGAGAGAGATGGGTTGCTTACATACCTTTGTAGAAGAGCTGTAAGCAACAAGATGAGGGAGCCAACTGCCTGGCGATAGAAGATGAAGATGTAGGTGTTCATCCCGTGGTTGAAAGCAGCCTTGGATATCACAAACATACCAGTGTAGATCAGTTGGACGACGATGGCAATAAAATAAGGCTTTATACTTGCTTTCACCATCTCGATCCAGCAATAGCAAGGCGTGCGTGGTGTTTGTACGAGGGTGTTGTCTTCAGTGTGCGAGAGCGTCCGTTTAGTTTTCTCCATCAACATATCACTACTTCTATATATTTATATAAAAAAGAAGAGGCAGGCACCAGGCAGTTTGCCGTCCTTGGACCTTGGCCGGCTTGACCTTGACACGGAAGCAAGGCATGTGAGCTCAATCATGTGCTCACGAGATGTAAACAGTAGCGGAGTGACGGCACGCCAAGTGTAAACGCAAGTGCACACCAAAATCCACACGATCTGCTTTTTTAAGTCTCCACAGATAGGAGACCCACTTCGACAGTGTTTAGTTCCACGCTAAAAATAAAAGTTCGATGAAATTGGAAATAATATAACGGTAAAGTTGAAAGTAGAAAAATTTAATGTGACGAAAAAGTTAAAAGTTTAAAGAAAAAAGTTGGGAACTAAGGGTGTGTTTAGTTCACGCTAAAATTGAAAGTTCGATTAAAATTAAAACGATATGACGAAAAAATTAAAAATTTATGTATAGGAAAGTTTTGATGTGATGAAAAAATTAAAAGTTTAAAGAAAAAAATATTTGGAACTGAACCTGACCTAAACAAGCCCTTCGAGTCTACATCGGCGGCGTCCAGCTCGAGAGGACCGTGCCGTGCCGACCGTGCCGCGCAGATGCCTGTCCAGGGACCCACTTTGACCATACCATGCCGGACACGAGAACGCACGCACCAAAACACGTCATTCTTCAAAAGGCACCAAGCAAAAGCAGTCATACATGCACGAACAAAAGAAATACTCATCCACAATGTGAGACACTTCTAGAGTATTCTCACTGACTGAGGATAATCGTAGAGAAACTTGGCTCGCACTGGAGAGTACCCCTGCATGGACTCCTCAAAATCTGAAGCAACCCGGTGAGGGTCTACATCCCACAGTGGGTGTCCTGGATCAAGGTAGCCTAGTACAAAAATTCCACCCATACCCCTCATCAGTCCACTAGCCTAGCAACCTCTTCCTCTCCTCTTTCTCACATTTTCTCGTCTCCTCCACCCACCGTCTCCTCCTCTTCCGATCTCCCCCTCTCTCTCTCGGTCGAACGAGGCACGGTGGCGAACGGCGAGCGCCGCGCGAGGTGGCCGACGGCGACGGGCGCGCGGGGTGGCCGACGGCGACGGGCGCGCGGGGTGGCTGACGGCGATGGGCACGCGAAGTGGCCGACGACGTCAATTGCCAAATCCCCTTCCCTCCGCAGCGGGGTCGTCGCCGTCGCGTCGAGGGTCGTCGCCATTGAGGGCCGTCACCATCGAGGGTCGCCGTCGGAGTGGCGGTGGGGTGGCCAGATCCGGCCTGGGCTTGCCGGATCTGGCCTCGGGCAGCGACGGCGGCGGCTTGCCGGCGAGGTCAGCGCCCGGTCGCCCTCCTCCCGCTCCCCTCTCTCCCTCCAGTCGTCGCCGTCGCCGACCCCAGACTCCACTGCCCCGTGCCGCCTCACGGGTCGCCTCGCCGACGACTCCGCCGCCCCCGGCACCCCCGCCTAGCGCCGCCTCGCGGATCGCCTCGCCGACGACTGGCTCGCCCTCCTCCTCTTCAAGGCCGCCGAGCTCCTCCCCGCCGTCGCGATGGCGGCCGGTGGAGCGGATCGATGAGCAGGCGGTGCTGTGGGAGAGAGGCGAGGGTAGGAGGGGGATTTGGGGGAGCGGCGAGGAGACGGGAGTCTGCAGTGGGTCTCCTCCCAGGGGCGAGGGTCGTGTCTCTGTGAAAAGCGGTCTCTCTTTGCAAAGAGCCGCGTTTCTCTGCTTGGCGCCGCATTCCTAGCATGGGAGACGACTCACGCTGAAAAGGGGATGGGAGGCAAACGGCCGTTTGCGACGGCACGGGTCGAGGGAACCATTGTGGATGGCCTGAACCCTTCAAAAAATACTCTATGCACGCTTCAAAACACGTCATTCTTCAAAAGGGACCAAGCAAAAGCAGTCATACATGCACGAACAAAAGAAATACTCTACGAGCAAAAAAGGCGCAGCAGCCAGAAAAGGATCATCCATTCGAGCATGCGTCACCTCCAGAGATCAAACCATTCGCCGGCTGCTTAATCATGCAGCAAAACCACTCAATTACTCACTCCATTTGCCACACATTTTTTCTCCTCTTCCTACTAGTGCGATCTTTCCTACAAGTGCGATATGCTTGGATGGCGTAGTATCTACAGAATTTTATGATAGAATCTACGTGATTTTTAAAAATATTATTTTAGTAGATCATATTATCAGTAGAAGTTAGGGGTTTATCCCATCTCACCTTTTTTAAGTTCTTTTCTGTTTATTTCATTTTTTGGCTGTGTGCCTATGGGCAGAGGCCGGAGTAACACATTTCCATTATAAAAAAAACTAGTGTGATCTGCGTCTCACGCCATGTTCGTTCCATCGATCGATTTGGGTCTCAATTATTCAATCCTTTTGCCGCAGCAAAAGTAAGAATAATTCAGACACAGAAAATTCGAATTAATTAAGAGTACCATCTGAAAAAAAAAAGAAAGAAAGTTACTAAACCAGTTCGTTGGATCCAACGATCAGTCGATACCTTTGTCTAGCTTTTATCGGACAATTCGATCGATCCAGAGACTTTTCCTATCTAGTAATATACGTAACTACTCCCTCCGTCCTAAAATAAGTACAGTTTTACACTATTTATCTCCAATGTTTAACCATTCATTTTATTTGAAAAAATGTTATGATTACTGTTTTTATAGTTATTAGATGATAAAATATGAACAGCTTTGGCAAGATTTCTCTTCTCAACTCGGATTCGAACCAGTCGGTAGGAGATGCCATCTCTACCCCGTTCGGTCTCTCGGACTCGGCAGAGATCTACTCCAAGACTCTCTCGTCTGAGTTGGCTTCAAACCACTCGGACGGGGATTCGTCGACTTCTTCTTCGCAACCAGATCAAGACGGAGCAGTCTACCATCAATCTTGATGCGGCTACCGGATGATCTCGCTGCCATTTTCACTTCGAGGGCGCCTTCTCCCCGTTGGTCCAGATCTAACCCGGTTTTGACCTCGGTCCGATCTGGCTCCAGGGAAGTCGGCGTAATTCTCCAACAACTCGGATCCGTTTCCACGGAAGAATTAGAAGATTACCTCAGCTCTCCCAGCGTCGACTCCTGTCATCCGACTGAGATTATCGACTACGGTGACTTCGACTACGACTACGACTTCAACAACTTTGACGACTTCGATGATCTTGATGAAGACTTCGACGACAACTATGAGGACGACTACACTCCACTCTTTTTGGGCATTTTCATGGCTGACAACGAGACCGAGGAACAGCACCTCGCTCACGAAGCTAATGAACAGTGGACACGACAAGAAGCCGAACGACTCAGATTGGAGCAGGAACGACAAACACAGGAGCAAGCAAGACTGCTGCGTGAGCAGCAGGAGCATGACCGACTGACTCGGGAAGTTGAGAAGCGAAGACAACGTGCCTTAGCGTCTAGGCGCCGAGCACGGGAATTGATTGGCCAGCAAGATATTGATGGCACACAAGTTTTCCGCACCCCGCAACAGAATGCGGTCGCTGCGATTACACTTTTGGATACCCTTCTAACAGCGGCGCCGCCGGACAACGTCGCCAACATACTTAATCAGACGAAGACAATGATTGTTGCAATGGTTCCAGTCAGCTTGGGGAGCATCCGCACGCCTATAGACAGTCGGGTTCCACCTCTCCGATCTCAAGATTATCATCAGCCAAGTCTCAGCATAGCAGGCTCGAGATCACATCATGAGGGCAGGGATCATCAGGAGCGTTCTGTTCACTCACCCGCCAACAGGCATCGCATCGAGAGCGCCGTGCTGAGCAGCCTTGTTCACCCCGCCGCCGGCAACCTGTCGACCTACGTGATACCCTCAATCGCCGCCGTGCAGAAAGAGACTCGATCTGTATATATCCTATGCGAACCTCAAGGACCACGTAAGTCTTGTCGTCTATAAAGATCTCCCAAACCTGTGAGCCAAGGCCCTGGAGATATGCAACCTGCGGATTTTCCAATATGGGTAGTTCGACCCATCGAAAAACAGCGGTTTGCCAACACCATGCTCCATGTCGCCTCCATGGACTTGGAACGGTTGAAAATAAAAAAAATTAAAATTTAAAATTAAATAAAATAATTAAGTAGAGTAAAATAATGAAGAAGAAAATAGAAATAAAAATTAATAACTAATGCTATGAAATATATATAAAAATAAAATATATGAATCACTTAAATAAAAAAAGAATTAATTAAAGATAGAAGAAAACATAAGGGGAAAATAATAAAATGGAAAAAGTCTACATAATAGAGAAAAGTAAGCAAAAGAACATCACATAGATACTACTTAAATGACCTAAAATATACCATATAACCTCACCAACATACTATGTGAATAATGAAAGACACGTTATGGAAAATTCTGCTTATACTACATTAACATCTCAAAATACATCCTAGACCATCTTATAGATAGTGTGAATAAACAAAAATATATCATGAACATCACATATGTAAACAAACAATGGAAAAAAAAGGTCTTACAAGAGGTCTTTTATACTCCACTCCCCATCCAAGCAATTCAGGAATGGCACCTTCTTTCCAGCACTCTGCAAACCTTAAATTCAAATCATATGGAAGATCAATGGACGGAACTCACCTCAATATCAATCGAAAAGTGTCTATGACCTGTTTTTCACCCATATTCAATCTGAAATTCCCTTGACTCTTATCTGGAAAAGCAAATGCACACTCAAGTTGAAAGTGTTTCTTTGGTTACTTTTATTGGACAGATTAAACACTAAAGAGTTGCTGCAACGAAAACATTTCAATACCCAAGGTGGAGCTTCATGTGTTACATGCAACAACTCAATCACAGAAGACTCTCTTCATCTCTTCTTTGCTTGCCCCTTTGCCTAGCAATGTTGGCATATCCTCGGTATAAATTGGGATCTAAACCTGAATTTCATGACCATTATCATTGCAACGTATAGGAACTTCCCTCATCCCTTTTTTATGGAAGTTTTGACAATATGTTGCTGGCATATCTGGAGTAGACGAAACGACTTGATCTTCAACAGTATTCAAGCAAACTTTGGCAAATGGAAGGCTGATTTCAAGGATGAGTTTACTCTGCATATGCATAGAGTAAAGGAGACAGAAAAACCTTTAATAATGGATTAACAGCATATCTTAATTAGCTTGCCTTTTAGGCCGTCTTTTTCTTCTTTCTTTCTTTCCCTCCTGTTGTACCCCCCCTTGTATATTGGTGCTTTTAATAAAATGTGCAGTAGGAGCTTCCCCTACTGTTTTAACCCTCAAACAATGGGAAAAAAAAGGAAAGAATAAGGGGAAAATAAAAAGAAAACAAAAGAATAAGAAAAAAATAAATTTTAAAAAAAGAGAGACACGGAAGGAGCGTATGTTCATGTATGTGCCGGCCAGGAAATCACATGTGAGACGAAACGACGCAGAAGTCACCGGTAAAACATGCGTTGGGAGCTGGGACTAATATAAAACTATAAAACTGCTCGACACGCTGCCCGCCCACTGCATGTGGTCTCATGTGTATCTCATAGACATTGGCATTTTTTATTCATTTATTTAATTATGTGCATGATATATTATTTTGAACTTAAGTATTCACGTATATCGACAAATATTAACCCTGGCAGAAGGGGCAGGCGAGGAGCGACGCCACATACGAGTTTTGCTATAGTCCTATAGTGTCCGGATGGTCATTTTGCGAAAAAAAACTCTAACAACCTAAAAATTTAATTAGTAGTTAAACGTGTCATATGTTATGTTTCTGATAAAATTATAGGAATTTCAAAAACTTTCTTGAAAAAAAAATTTCTTCAGATGATTCTTATGTTTAAAATGGCTAGAAATTTAAACCTTTTGCTAGACTTTTGTTTGGGATGATGTCAATCTTTAGCTACCATTATAGGGAAAGCATTTTTTTCCGGAAAACAAAATAACCCTATAACCTTGGTGGCGAAATCTAAGTTGCTGGGTTAAGGAAGTCTCATTCAATTTTCCAGAGTGCTTTGACGCTAATAAAATTCACCAACACAACTAAAGACCTACTCACCAATATTTTTCCTTGCACGAATGGAACGAGAATATAAGAGACTAAGCCAACTCAATACCAAATAATTCACGAAGATCCACCATTCTTTTTCTCCCTTTTAGCTTTTAAGCCAAGTTGAAACCTTTTTTATTTAACTATAATGAATGACCAATCGGTAATTTTGTAACTCATATTTCGCTTATTTGATAATCTACCCTATCACGCATAGCTTTTGG